TGTGTTTAAGGAAAGGCTGGATGTGGCACTGACGTGGTGGTGTTAGGTCATAGGCTGGACTTGATGATCTTAAAGGTCTTTTCCAGCTTTGGTGATTCTGTGATTCTGAGCCAGCGTGTGAATGGTCATGGGCTCTAGACCCACTGTTTTATGGCAAATAAAATTGGGGTGGTTGTATTTGTGCCCAGCTGCCTGCTTAAGTGTCGTCAGTGCTAACTTGATCCATCCAATTTTAATTTGCTGTCACAAGTCTCCCAGAGCATTGCAGAAGGGTGGAAGGGAGGATATTTTCCCTGATGACTGCTGTTGACATTTGCAGAATAGAAGTGAAGTCAGCCACTTGTTTGTTCAGAGGTTTGCATGCCCGTAGTGGTTCTCAGCTGGCCGGGCTCGCTCAGTGCCTGTAGCCCAGCAGGGACCTTCCCAGCAGCAGCATGGGGAAAACTGATCAAGCTGTGTTGGTGTTTCTTTTTGTTTTGAGATGTCAGTGAAACCAAAATGATGGATCATGTAATACAATTTGGAGAAGCAAATGGGAAGGTATTGTGTTCCTTGCTGCCCCCACAGAAAAAGGAAATAAGGAGATGTTAATAAACACACACAGACTCAGGGAAGCTGTGACATGGTAAAGGACTCATGGCTTTGTTTATTGACAGCGTCTTGCAGCTTTGGTTTTTCACTAATGGCAGCTCCTGCAGAAGGAAGGCAAAATTTCAGTCTTCACCCCAAATGTATAGGATGTGTTTGTGTGTGTGAAGGCTAATGTCTTTCTTCTGTTGTTTCAGGCTCAAGGTAAAAGCATCAGAATAATGTGGTTGATGGTGGTCCTGAAAAGTAGATCTTCTCTGGCTGGTTCCAGGCTCTGCATCTAATAGCAATGTAAATAACTTCTCTTTCCTAGCAGGATGGTCATGAACTTGATTTTCACAAGACTGAGCAAAGCCCACCTTTGATTTCAACAGGCTGATGTGTACTGGGACCTGAAAACATGACCACTGCATGAAAGTGGATTGTGGGGACACCAAAAGGAAAAGTGGGAATGAAGAGAGTGAAGACAGTGTAACTGAGCTGTGTTGTTAAGAACAGGAGCAGATCCAGGACAAAGATAACTTCAGTAATAAAAATGAACTGAGATTGGGAAGAAAGGAGGGCAACTAGTGACAGGACAGGAGGGCATGGCCTGAAGCTGCTCCAGGGGAGGTTTAGGTTGGATATTAGGAAGCATGTCCTCATGGAGAGGGTGATCAGATGTTGGAATGGACTGCCCAGGGAAGAGGTGGAAGCACCATCCCTAGAGGTGTCCAAGGCAAGGCTGGATGTGGCACTTAGTGCCATGGTCTGGAGATGTGGTGGTGTCAGGTCATAGGCTGGACTTGATCTTAAAGGTCTTCTCCAGCCTTGGTGATTCTGTGATTCTGTGCTTAGCACAAAGGCAGGCTGAGAGATCTGCCTCAGGCAGGTCCCACAGCTCTGCCCACAGGTTGTCCTTGCTTGGCCAGGGTAACAGGGTCTGGTTGCACCTGCAGCCACTGCCCGAGGGGAGCAGCAGGCTCAGCACCTTCGAGTTTTGCCTCCAGTAGCTCAACACATTTCCCATCACATTTGCATCACAACGCAAGAGAAATCAAATGTAATCTCCTTCTAAGCAGATAGGAACTAACCCCAGAGATACTTGCTTGAATTCTGCTGTTGCAAATTCCTACCAAAAGCAAATGCTATTCATTCAAAAAACAAGGCTGAGCCTGGAGATCTCTGAGCTTGCCCAATAATAGAATTCCTAGTGAGTTCCTCTGTACCAATCTGTTAGGAAATAGCAGCAACATGAGCATGATATGGAAAACACCTCCATCTTCAACACTTTCTCTTAATTTTCAAGCAGGAGGGTATATATCCACAACATCTGGCAGTAGGAACTTGGTCATACGGTCGTAACAGCAACACAGAGAAACATCACATGTGAGAAAACCAATCTAAAGACACCTTATTTTTCCCTTTCCTAATTGTGGTGGGCTAGCAGGTATTTAGGTCAGGCAGAGAAAAATAAATCTCCAGAGCTACCTGTCAAATAGATAAAGGTAGCCTGAACTGCTAGAGAATATGGGGGATTTTACCTGAGCAAAATCTGAATAGGGGTTTAAATGGGTGAGATAGGAAGCTGCTCCTAGAAGGACAATATACAACATCTGGCATGACCCTGGGCTTCATCTCTGGCCCAAATTCAGCAAAGCATCTGCCATAACTTTTCAGAACAGCATCTTAAATGTATTTCTCTCTGCAGAGACTCTCAGACAGCCCTGGGATAGACCTACTAAAAGTAATATTATGATGTTCAATATTTATGTTAAAGAATCACAATGCCTGATCTGGGCCTGAAGACCTAAAATACCCCAAATGCATTTAAAACAACACCAATGTAGGTGTCATGATTTACTGTTTAAGTATCTGTCAAGCACTGGCAATGCTCTCAAAACATGAATCAGGACAGAGCTATTTGATTTCCAGTGGAAATGCCTGAACCTCATTTAATCTGTTTCAGCTTTTGACCTGTCAGAACCCATACGGGATGAAGCACTGAGTGAATTACAGAGCTACAGAAATTCCTACTGTGCTCTAATTATTGATTGAAGTAGAAAGTAAGCATTTTTCACAGTCCAGGCTCAAGTGAAATGCCTTCCCTATTCAGTAGAACAGCAAGTTCAATACGTGCTTCTCTGCAGTGTTGCTATGTATGTTACCCAACTGTGACCTGAAAGTGAAAACACCTATAAACACACATGAATCATCTTCTTAGATGATTTTTATCCAAGTTCAGACAGGTAACCTGGATTGTTAAGCTGCTTTTCCCTTACTATTCTGTGGTTAAAAGCAGAAGTGAGGTAAGGAAATGTACATGTGTGGGTTTAAGATCCACCTTGTTCTTCTAACGCACGAGTACAAAGAAAACAAAACTCATGCTCATAAAGAGCTGAATTCTACAGGCTGGGGAAAAAAAACACACACTGTTTATTCTTGCCATTCATGTTCTCAAAAGGCATTTTCCTTACAGAAAACTCAGCTTCACCCCTGTTTTGCAGCTTGGCAGCAATGATGTTTAAGCCTGTTGGAAACCACCTCGTGAACTACGCTACGCAGCAGCTTAATCAGGTGAGCATCCCACTGCTGCCTGCAGCCCTGGGCTAAAGCTGAAAGGAAACCCTTTTGCATCAAGGTAAAGATCAAAACAGAACATTTAGCTTTGTCATTTTAAAAAGAGCTCACTGGGATGTTTTCTTCTGAAAGCATAAATCAATGGAGGTTTCAACTTTGGAAGCCAATTTGGAACAAAAGGCAATGTAAAAACATCCAGATGTCCCAAGGGCTTCACAAAGCTCATCTGCATCTTGTCTGCACCCTCTGTAGAAGGGGAGTCTAATGTGAGCACTTGCCAGGTATTAGCATGTCCTAATGAGACTCCTGCAACTGCCAGCTCAGGATGAAGACTGCAGGACTTCTTAACAGATCCCTGGAAGAGGGGGCACTGGCAACCAAGGAGTCGAGACATTTCTGGTTCTCACTAATTAAAGCCTCTTCTGTGGCTCTTTTTAAAAAGCCTTTTTTTAAACCCACTATTTGTGGTGGTCCAAAGGGCCAGCATGGAGGGAGGATGGGCCACACAGAGGGTCACTGTGGCTGATTTCTTGTGCTGTAACTGCAGCTTCTTTAGGGTCAGTCCTTACCCTGAACCAGGATCCCACTGATCCCACTGCTGAGACACTGTCTGAATATGGACCCAGAAAAACTATCTGCCTTGAACACAATGAGCTAATGATGTCTGTAAGAGAGGTATTTCTGGAGACTCAGAGCCTGCAGAAACTGGAACTAGGAACTGGGAAGCACGAAGTGCAAGGGCTCTGGGGTATTTACACCCACTGAATATGAGGGTAAAGGATGGGTCACTGTAACTAGACACAACCTCACATGCAAGGCTGTCCAAGTCCCCAGAAGTGACGAACACCTCTGTGTCCAGGAGGGATACAGTCTGAGATGCCCAGTCAGCAGGTTTAGTTTGTATCCTGAGTGGCATGAAGTGTGGGAAGCCCTGAGACAGCAGCCACCAGCATGACTTCTGGGACTCCAGGCCTGTCCAGCCCCCTGGGCATGCACCAGGATCTGACCCCAAGCCAGCCTCCAACCATCTCACCTGAACAGCAAATGATATTTGGCTTAGCTTCTGGAATCACAAACACAACCTCACCTGAGGGGACATTTCATTAGAGCCTGTGCTGTGTTTTCCTCAGTTGGTACAGAGAGACTCACACACCCCCACAAGGGTCATGGGAAATGTACAGCTCTTGCACTGCATGACACAGTCCATCTTGAGACAGCAACAGCAGCAGAGACAGCTTGTCACACAGACTGTTCTCACACAGCACACCACATACCCTTGTGCCTTATTTGCATTTTGCATGAAAAGAGCAAGCAACATTCAGTTCAATCAGAAATGAAAGCAGAACCCATTCTAACAAATGGGGAGACAACAAGAGCCCCGGTTCTCCTCTTGGACACGATCACAGCTCCTCTTACAGCCAAGCAGAGCTGGGAGTGCACAAGACAGGAAGAGGGATCTTGGAGAACAGAAGAACCTGCTTTAAGGACACGACACAGAGCTACAAAAACCAGGGAGAGAGAGAAGTAGAAAGAGACATACTGGAGAAGCTGACCATTGCGAAATGCTGACACCGGTCTCCTGTGAATTCGATCGGACACCTACCAGAAAAAAAGAAAACCAGAAAGAGAGAAACAAGATAGCAACATGACACCCAAACAGACAGATCTGAGGCCCCTTCTGATCCCTTCTGTGACTCCTAGCCATCTGCTTTCAGCCTTCTCCCTTACCTGCATCCCTAAGCCCTAGCCCAAAGCTGACACCGAGAACCGTCCCTGACTAGACCACTCTACATCCACCGCTGTGCCCAGGAGGTTTTGAGCAGTGTGGTGCATTTTTTTGTCTTCAAACATACTTTGCTTAGGATCTGGCATGTACAATCGCAAAGGCAGTTTCTCCAAACATCTCTGTCCGAAGAATCCATTTGGACATCTGGAGGGGAAAAGGGGAGAAATCACAGAACACGTCTGGCACCATTCTTGAGGCTAAGGTCAGAAATAAAAAGTGCATTGTGATGAATGGAAAAAATAAAGGCTTCACGTGTGTATTTACTCTTCACTTTGCTTTAACCAGGCACCTGCAACATCAGCATTCCAGCTCTGCTTTTGGCCTGGATCTTGAAGCAGCCAGCCAAACCCCTCCTCTCCTCATCTGCCTGCCTCCTTCCTTCTCACCTGCTAGAAGTACCAGCTGGCAGCATGATCGAGATGGGCTGGATGCTACTTTCAGAGACTCTCCTTGGAGCTGCTATCTAGACAAGACTGGCAAGAGGCACCACAGAGCAGTGAGGAGCTGCTCAGGCGACAGTGAGCGCTGTGCAGGGCAAGCACCTTCCCGTTATCATCACAGGAGTCTCCACAGGATGGTCCAGGGAAGAGGGTTACATTGAGGTTAGAGAGAAAGCATGTGCAGAGTCTCTGTGTTAACAGAGAAGAAGGGACAGAGAAGAAAGCTGAACCCAACAGGTCTCACATGCTGCCCAACAGTGAGGCTCTCTCAGGCTACCCCAACCAAGGTGATGAGCTGGGATGTGCCAGCTCACAGGGCACCAATTACATGTTCATGTGATGCCGCAGGGGCAGGGTTGGCACCCTGCAGACCAGGGCTACCAGGCATGGTGAGGAAGCTCCCTGGATCAGGCTAAGCCAGGTTTGGGGATCACAGGGATGTGGGCAGGGGTGTACTGGGGGCTGCGAAACCGCAGGTGGGACAGCAGCACCTGCACACCAGGTGTTGCGACCCACCGCAGCTGCAGGTGAACCTCGGAAGCAACCAGAGCTCAGTTGAGGGTGGTCAAACCCTCCTTCCCCAGGCACTTATCTCTCCTTCACTATATCATTTCTTCTAGCCTCCTTGGATAGTCCCTTAAAGTTATTCCTGAAGTCCCAGCTCCTACCTGCCTGTCCCACAACTCCCTTCCCAACAGACCTCTCCCTCCTCTGAGCTCAGGAAGGTTTTATCCCTGGAGCATCTTAACCTCTGTTCTCCAACTTCCCAGGGTAAGTGTAGGTCCTGTGCCTGGTACACATCAGACCTTCCTCATGCCCAGCTGCCACCCACAACATCTCCTAATTCATCAGTGTTTGGCAAGCCCCAGCTGCTCAACTAAAAAGGGACTGAAATACACCTCAACAAAAAGGACATGGACCAGAGGCCTGAGCCTGAGGTCAGTGGCTTGGCTTCCTGCTGTTCACTGCAGAGGACAGCAAACAGCCAGAGTGGCCTTGGCATAGTGTCAGACTGGTCCCAGCCTGCACATGTTGGGGGGTGGAGCAAGGCAGGTCCAGGTCCCAGGTGCTCAGTGCCAGCCCCACGTGGGTGCTGTAGATCTGACCCTCTTGTGCCTCCCAAAGGTTGGTTCATACCTGCTCCCAGGCTGAGACACAGCCGAGGGGATGAGGAAGGGATGGCTTTGATGTTTAAGATGACCAAAGCTTTGCTGTTCCAAAGCTTGCTGGCAGATGAGTTCTATGCTGGTGCTCAAGGGCTATGGCAGCCTTGGTTGTTCTGGACTGACTTATGCCCAGGTGGCACGTTGCAGATATGCAACCCCAGCAGAAAAAATACCTTCAAGCAGGTAGATTAATTCCTGCTTCTCTACTTGCTTAAGGAAGATAAAACAGTTTTTTTTCGTCAACTCTTGGGGTCAAGATGTAGAAATTACAGAAGTCTTCCCTATTCATTATGACCAGAAAATCTTGATTGTTAATAGTTCTCCCTCATCCTGGATGTACACTGAGCTGAGTCAGCAGGTGGGAATCACGATGTGAGGGAACATCAGTGGCTCTCACAGCCCCTCCAGGGGGGTGCACCAGGGCAGGGGTACACCAGCCCATGGTCAGGCCTGCCAGGATACAGCCTTGTCCCACCTGGGGGGCTCCTCTCTCAATGGGAGAGGTGAGATTCACCTGAGCTCTTTAGAAGGACGTGAGGAGGCACCAGGGGGCTGGGCACAAGGCAGGACAAGGTGTGAAATCTCCCAGCTGTGGTGATGGACGTGGCTGGTGCCATTCTCCCAGTGCCTGGAAGACTGCACTAATTCTCCCTCAAACCAGAAAAGGGGGAAAGGCTGAGTTATTTGCTGACACACTGATACAGCCACAGGCTCCTAGAGGAGGCCATCCACCTGTGGGACAACCCTCTGCTACTCCAGAGGCAGGCTGAGCCGCAGTGCTCGATGCCTACAGATACTCCTCTGAATCCAGAATGATCCAAGGAGAAGATAACAGCCAATAAAAGGCTTCCTAACCTCTCCATCCCACCTGCTGTCCTTCACCTGAAAACCTACACAGCTCCAAACCTGTCCATCTTTTCCCTAAAATTCCCAGTTCTCCAAGGCAGGGTGCCCCATGTCCAGGGAACATTTCACCTGCTGTCTCCTTCACAGAAGATCTGGAAGGCCTTACATGACTGACATGACTTTGGTGCTTTATTTTCTGCTGGTTTTCACTGCAGTTTTGGTAGGTCTACACTGAGCAAAAAGGCTGGTGCACCCTCAAACCTGTTTCCTGTGGTTCTGGGGCCTGGGCTAACACCTCCATGTGGGATTGTGCTGGGCTCTTTGTGCACCCTGACCTGCTCAGGGGGAACTTCAGGGCACAGCTCTGTGTGAAGCCTCCTTGACCCTCCCCAGTCATACACTTCAGTTTCTCAGTATCCAAGTCACTTTTGAAACTGGAAATTTGACTCCCTGGTCAGATAAGTATCTTGCAAAAATTCATCCCCTACTCTCAATTCTTGGATGTTCATCTCGGAGCACAGGAAAGGGAGACACACCAGTAACGTTGCTCCAACAGCAGGGAGCCCTCCCAGCTCCCAAGGAAGCCCTGGCAAAGGGTTTACCATCAGACATGAGGCCTGGTGACCTTCCCTGGGATGAAGCAGAGGAAGCTGGTGCTGGGAAGTGGAGTCAAGATGCCCTGTGGGCAATCAAAGAGCACAAATCTGAGGCAGCTGGGTGATGCTGACTCACAAGGACAGCCCTGGGGAAGCATGACTTTCAAGAAACCTTGAAGAGACTGCACTGGGGTTTGAACAAGGCATCCACAATAGAAGGTGTCTTCTCCATCCTTTGTGAAGTTTATTCATCATCACTGATAGCGTCAAGAACTTACTCGTCGGGTCTTCATGCATATCCAGTTTAGTTTGCAACATGCTGCCCATCTGCTTGGGACTGGAGGTCTCACGTATGTTGTGAGCACACCAAAGGGCCTCAAAGTGCTGCTGAATGAAGCCAATGTCCTACCCACCTCAAAAAGGAGCTAAAATATCCCAGGTGCACATTTGCAAGAGATCAGCAAAGGCTGGAACTTCAGTGTGACTGAAGCTGCATGCCATTAAGGAAAGACTGGAAGTTGCATGGAAACTGCTGTAAGGAATTAAAAACCCAGAGAAAGGTGAAAAAGCAAAACAGAAAAGTGTCAAAGAAGCTTTGATGCCATGACAGCTACCATACAGCCCATCTTCAGATCTCTGCAGTCAGCCTAGCGTGGGTGGGGAGCACAGCCTTCTAAGCAGAAGGCAGTAGGTAGCTATCTTCTCTGTGTCTAGGACACCTAAGGCTTTTTATCTTTAGTTACAAGTGAATCAGCAGTTGGAAAAGGGACAGAAAAGAAGCCTTCATCAACACGAGCACCATCTGTCACCTCACAAGCTAGCAAACAAGTGGTCAAGACACATGTGCCACTCTGGTGTCCCTGGGTCCAGATTCCTCCTAAGTGAGGCTGCTGGCAGCAACAGTGGCCTTGGAAAACACAGAGGGCCTATGGTTCTTTCTTTTTTAGCTGTCTCATACATCCAGGCTGGTGAAGATGATTTGATATTTATTACTATGGCTCCATGTGACTTTAGGAAGAAATTTCCAGCATACATGGCCCATGAGTCTCCTGGTCTGGAGAGGAAAAGAAATGGAAAGCACCATTGCAGAATCTGCTGCCTGCAGGAAGGGCTCCTGGGCAGCTCCTCCTCAGTGGCCAAGCATATAGCCTGAGGGACATGCCTGAGAGTAAAGGCTGGGAGCCATGAGGTGGTCTTTGTCAAGAGGTTTTGGCTAACTATCCCAACCAAATGGAGTCCCTCCTACTTTTGAAAGCTCCTCCAGGAGCTACACAGATGGTGAACTACTCCTGCCAATGCTACCTTTGGACTTTCTGGTCCACTCACTGGTGTCACAAAGGCCCAACATGTCTCTTCTCAAAGGCCAAGGGAAGTGAACAAAGCTGTGTCTGTAGGAACAGTCTTGGGGAAGCACCAACCTCTTGCAGACAGCACCTGGTCCCTTCTCTAGCCTGTGAGGAGAACCCCAAGATTGTTCTTGCTTGACTCCAACACTCTCTGTGTGACCAGATGCATGAAAATTGAAAAAAAACCTGCCAATTCTGAAAATTTGCTCCTTGCAAATGCCCCTGATCAAACTGCTCAGGAATTTTTCTGTCCAGATTCTGCTGTTGCTGAAAGATGCCCAATTCCTTATGTTTTGAGCAATTCCTTAAGGTTTGTTTTTTTTTTTTACCCCGTTTTGAAAACAACCCCAAAGTTTTGCTCTTGGCTTCAGGATGAATCCCAGGTAAATATTTATATGGTATTAAAAAATGCAGTAAGATGATCAGCCAAATAATGCATCTCAAAAAGTACAAACCAGAATGGTCTGGACGACCCATTTCTATGTTGTTTGCAGAGCACTTATGAACACTGAGAAACTTTGACCTTTGGTGCTGTAGCAGGGCACAGCAAAAATGTTTGTTAATTATTACTAGCTACTATTAATTAATAACATAATCATCATAATGCTCCTGCTGGAACCAAAACCTTTTTCTGCCCAGGTGTTAAGTCTTGCAAGGATTGGCTCATTTCCTTTGCTCCCTCAGATCTTCATTAAAGTATGTCAAATTTGGTGTCTGTCATAATGCAATCCATGGTACAAAAGGATGTGA